TGTGGAGCAAACACGGCCTTCTCATCTTGTTTGTCCCGTCAAGGTAATCTGAACAGGCTGTTGCAGACACAAGCGTAGTTCAGAGGGCAGGGGGATGAGCGGGAGCCCAGGGGCCTGACATTTTTCTTTCTTGGTCCTGGGAGTGCTAGTAGTTCATTGAAGATCATCTCAGCATCTCAGCTCATGTCTTGATCCCACTTCTATAGCAAAACAAAACTATCAAGAAAGAACAGATACGAATCCAGGAACCATAAATACACTCATTGCCCTGACTTGGTGGCAGAGAAAAAGATGAAATGTGTATCCATGCCCCTGGATATGAGAGAAGGCTCCCTTCTCCATGGTATCCTTATGTAATAAAAAGGTCAACAAATGCGATAGAAACATTTACAGAGGGAGTTTCCTAGAGGTAAATTAAGGTGGTGAGAATTTCAAGCTTTTACAGTTTTATGGACAATTTGATTCTAGCGTGGACGGTTGAATTTTGATTCTCTTGTCTGCTTGCAATCTTGAAAAAAATGCGACCTCAAAAAAAGAGGAGGAAAAGAAGAATTGTCAGTATTTTTGAAGTCTCATTATTTCTGTGGAAGCATGTAATATATTTCTTTAACAAACAAGCCAGGCTAAGAGGGTGGATTTACTCATTTGGTCCTCATATGAGCTATGGAGCTTTCATCATTCTGGAAAATAGTTGCAAGGGAAAGCTAGAAATCATTAATCTGAGGAGCTCAGTGTGAGTGTTGCTTCAGTGCTTAAAAATTGGTTTTGACATTTTGACATTTTGTATTAGCTGAGTCAGAAAAGCTAAGTCAGTCTACTCTTTCAGCTGCCTTCTCAAAAACTGAAGGCTCATTTGGAGGTAAGGTAATTAACTGGGTCTAAATGGGCTCTCAAAACAAGCTACTTGTCTAATGACATCTTATTTCCACAGACTTCTATAAGGTGTATATGTATGAAAAATAGTGCTTTGCAAAAGAAAAAAATATTAGATTTTCCCCCAGTTTACCTATCTTCAGTAAGGAATAGATGAAATTGATAGACTGATACTGGAGTTGCCAGTGCGCCCTTTGGAGGGAAAAGTCTTACTTCACATATCTGATAGAGTCATTGGCTGAGTCCGTGGAGATACAGGCAAGTGGGATCTGGTCAACCTAGTACAACTTTTTTTTCCAAAAAATTTGATCATGTTCCTCGTGAATGTTAACTTTAATGGAACAAGATAGTTGGACTTGTCAGAGGTTGATAGTTGTTTAAAATAAATGATATTTGTTAACGGTGCAAAATTATTGAGCATAGCTGTGTTGAAATCTGCCTGACGGAAGTTGTAGAAAGATCTCACAGTGCTGCCTGTTTCATGCAAGGGCAGATAAAACTTACTGTCAGTGAGCCTAGGTATACCTATAACCTAACTGTATATGCGCAGAAGAAAGTGTAAATTAGCCATTGTCACTGAGGAAATAGATCTGGGTGTCACAGGCTTGATGTTTGTATGGAACCGTGTGCAATGTCTTATGGCAGTCGAAAAGGCGTCTAGAGTTTTGGGAAGCATTTAGAAAGGAATTACGGGGGGAAAAAAAGAGAAAATATGAGAAAATCGTCTTTCTTTCAACGTGTCATGTTGAAAGCAACCAGATGTGTGGACTTCTACGTCCATACATTAAACAGTAGAAGTAATTGTCACAAGGTGCTGAGCACGCCAAAAGTACGATGGGTTTGAAGAAAATGCATTTTAAGTACTGTAGATACGCAGCTGTACTAGTACAGAGTTTGCACTTGAACTCTTGCTAAGCATTAGATCCGACTAAAGAATAACAGCTTATTCCTCTTGTGATTTCCGAATTGCGCTTAGATTCTCAGACTACCTTCCAGATTCTTCCACGTATAGTATCTTCCTCTCTAGAAATCCACAGAAATTGTGAAGTCATCTGTGCACTGACTGGCACTAATAGCTATTATTAAAAATAATTAACTGCAGGTAATATTAAAAATAAGTTTTCACGATGGTTTTCAACCATAGAGATCTCGGGCTTATTTGTATGGATGGCAAAATTCTTGTTTCGCTTTTGTACGCGGAAACAAAACGCCTATTTGCTGACCCAGAAGTTTCCATGGCAGTCTGCATAATTTCTAAAGTGTCCGTTTCCTGTGGAGTCGCTCATAATATCCTGTTATAAACAAGAATAAATGCAAGGCTTGGAACGAGTCTGCAATATCAAGCCAGGGCCATGTGTAATTTTCCTGGGATTTTCCTATGTTATGTGATAACAATATTAAGAAATGCAGTCATTTCCAGAATGGGAAGCAATGCATAAACAAAAGCAAGTAAGGCATGGATAATGCATTTGTCACCTGATACATAACCAGGATGTTTGTATTAGTTACTATTCAGCACAGGCAGAGAAGTGGAGGCCAGGAATCCAGTGTTTGTATTCTCTATTCTTCTAAGGAAGAGTTAACAGTATTTTTCAGGGACTTTCCAGTACTACTTTCAATTACTTCCTCTATGGTTTGCAGCATTTACACATTAGAGAGAAATATACTTTTGGTACTATATGAACAATAACACTGAAACTCGAGGGAACAAATTACAGTTCGTGATTGAAACGGCTCTCGATACAAGAGCAGAACTACAGCAACCAGGCATGGGAGGGGGAGTTTGAGGATAAGGAGATGACACGAGGTTGTTGCTTGGTTGGTTGGTTGTTGCTGCTGTCCTCTTGCCCCCAAACTGAAATTGTTGGTGAAAGAAGGAAGCGGAAGTGGTTTGGAAGGAAGATGAAGTGAGGGACCAAGAAAGTAACTGGGGACGGAAAGGACGTGTGAACACCTCTGCTACATTCAATTGTGAGGAGGGCAGTAGAGAAATGGAGAGCGATGAATACACTGATGGCGGCTGTAACATGGAGCGGCCTTCTGACATGGTTGTAGAAATACAATTCAGATGCTAAATGAAGTGGCGAAGGGGAGCAGAAGCTTACATTATATTGGGAAAAGGAGAAGATGGACAAAACCATGTAGTTAGCTGCAGTGAAATCTCGGGGTCCTTACCTTCTTTGTGGTGCAAATGTCCTGACTTACCGCCTGGTCAGCTTTCTGGTGTGTTACACAGACATGCACGCGCACACACACGCACACACAAAGATGCTTACTAAATAGTCTACATGTTTTCAATGGGTGCAGTTTTCTCCTGTGGCTTCTGCATGGCCTGATAACTGGAGGGCCACAGGGCACCTTGTTTAGAGTTTTAAGTGGCTGAACGCCTCAAGCTGATGCCAAAATAATACAGGTTGAGGAGAGGACGGACATCAGTCTTACTGCGAAGGGTCTTCCAGAAGAAGCAAGCCAAAGACAGTTCTTTTATTTTGTGATCACAAAGTTACCTGGCAAAAATCCTTCTGCTGTTTAAGACTATCTAGATCATAGGTAAAAGTGAAATAAAAGTGTGCATGCTTCAAATAAACAGGTATACTCTAGTTTAAAGCAATAGGCTTTAAACCTAATGCCCCCTCTCTCTTATTCTCGGCTCCCTTCCTGAAGATGCCCAACATGTTGCTGGCTTTCATTTGGCCGCCGTTGCACTTTGAGCTGATGATTTCAGAGACGTGTTAAGCATGGATGTTTTATACTACTGTCTTATGAACTATACTGGGACTCCTATGGGAAGATGCATTACACCCATGAGAGCTGTGCTCTCCAATAGCCCCCGTGGGTCAGGAGATGGGGTGGTAACAATATGAAGCATCCCAGTTTATCTGCCAGAATCCTTCCTTGGCGCTCGTATGCGGTTTGAGTGCTTCTCTCCCAAAGGGGCCAAGTGTCAGTGCCTGTGTGTGATGGGGAGGAATAGCCGGGCCTTTTGAAAGAGGCAGACATTGTGTACTCAGCACTCTCCATTTCAGGGATTTGAAGAGGAAGCGGTTGTTACACAAGGGCAAATGCTTGATATTTGGGTACCCAAAGTAAAGGTCACAAATTCCCATTTTGATAGTCAAAGAGTGGCCTTTTGATGTAGTAAAGATTTACAACTCTGGGGCTGATCTGGACGCTGGCAGTGTTTAGGCATCTGAGGGTAAAATTTGCTTGTCTGTAGGGTACTTAAATAAGGAGCCTCGCTCTACAGCCCACCAGTCCCCAAGAGCTGGGAATAGCCTGAAGAGAGAAGAGTGGGCATTTTACCCTACCCTAAGAGTTTGTTATTGCATTCAGTAATGTCAGATTAGCGTAACAGGGTGAGTTATGGTACCATGTACTAAAAATTTTCATTTCAGTTCCAGAAATCAGGCTGAGATGGCAAAAATGAAGCAGACTGTTTCCAAATAAAGCAAATGAAAATGTAAAACAACAAACAGATAACAAACAGATTTTTTGTAGAAAACATTTAATAATACATTGTTAGGAATAATTACACTCTCACAAGCAAATTCTGTGTAAGATGCAGTTTTTTCCATTAGCTGATTGAGTGGCTAATTAGACATACGACCAAGTCCTTGTACAGAGCAATGAGATTGTGAATATTTCTTAAGAAATCAGTAGTAGGAATGGAAAATCTGGTAGAAATGAAATAAATTATCATCATTTTCTCTCTTGTATAGAAACTACTCAATAAATACATTTATAAATACCATGGAAATTACAATAAATAAATACCTAACCCACTGTCTTACAGAGTCTGTAGGCTAGATTTTTCAAGTCAGAAATCACAGTTCACAGTCTAGCCACAGGCTGACTGTGGTTCAGGAAACTGTTGTTGACACAACATACTAGTGCACTCCAGGGGAGCAGGAGGAATTATCAGTTCGCTGGTGTAATAGCAAAATAGTAAGGCTTAGTGTAAATAAGCTGTGCTGTAAGTGCATTGCACTTAACGAGTTGTGTTTGGCTGAAGTGGCTGCCAAGGGTTCTTCATTTCCTTTAGCAAACCACTTTTCCTGTTCAGTGACTTCAGGTGTCTATGAACAGCGTGTCCCACAGACAGCGCTGACCATTTTGAAAGGCTTTCTTAAATAGATGCAGTTAAATAAATAAATAAATAAAATCATCCATAGTTAACATAACAACACTGATGCAGGAGGTAGAAGGTGGTACCCTGCGTGAATGATGCTTTTGTCGAACGTTTCTCTCAATGGAGGAGGGGGAGCAGTTCCCAGTTTTTTTCTGTCCTGGTGTTTCTTAGAGTGGCGAGTCAGAATTGAGTTGAGCCCTGTTAAGAGGTGACGGAAGAGGACAATTTAGAAGGAGGTTCAAGAACGGTTATCATTGCTTAGCATTGCAGGAACACTTAAGGATGAGTGGTCTGTTTCCAATTCTGCGTCCTATCTTGAGGCATAGAGAGAATGAAATTGATGTTTTGAAAGCGATTACTGAAATCCCAGTGTGTGCATATCTGGTGCACAGCTAGGAAGCTTCTGCAGCATGAGTTTCTGCATTTACTCGCATCAAGAAACTCATTAACTCAGAACTATGAATTATTAACATATGCTACTGTAAGTAAGGGGAAGATGAATTTTTTAAAGCCTCATTTTTCAAAGGGAGCCAAACACTTCTGTGTTCCCCTCCCTCCAGACCAAGTTGCCGGTACTCAAAGGTCTAGTAGCGACGTATCGGCTTGAACGAGGACCTTGCAGCAGAGTCAGAAAGACTAAGACTAATTCTATAATTAAGCAGCAAGTTTCCTTGTTCTTTAAATCTGATTAAGAGAAAATGGAAAGTATCGCTAAGAAATCCTACAAATTGGCTTTTTCGGGAGGTTTACCACTCAACTGCCCAAATTGAGAGGGAATGGGACTTACTTGGCCAAAATTGCCTTTATGATCAGCTGTACCCAGGGAGCAGTGGGCTCCAAGCACACCTCTCTGCCGTCCTTCAGAGTAGCTCTGCAAAACAGGGAATAAAGAAAAGTTCAGGAAACTACTACATGGATTTGTTTTACTCGCAGAACGTAATACTGCATTTTTAGATTAGTTAGTATAAATTCGTCCCAACTGATGAATTAGGTTGGACTTGACCATTTTGTTATATGTGTTCCAGAACTGAGGAGACTAAAACCGTCCAGAAGTTGTGTGAGTCTGTGTGCCTGCTCTCAAAGCAGTCACGCATTCCCAAAAATCTTTCTCAGTATATATGGGTACTTGGTTTGAATTTGTTTATATTAGTAAAGCTTTCTTACACAACGATTGAAACCTCCAGTGGTGAAAAGGTGTTTCAGCAGTATAAGGTTTTCAACATTTTAGTCCCTCCTCCATGCTATTCAAGACCGGATTAGTTTCATTGTTGCCCTAAATCTGCTTGTGGGAACTTAGTTTTTCTCTCTGAGACTGACGCAGACCGTTTTAATGGGAGTTTTGCCTGCCTAATAAATGCAGGACTTTAAACTACATTATTACCTTGTTATAAAGAACTGACCAGTCCTTGAAATTCATGTTCTACCAGAACCAGAAATATTTAATATGTCCCATGACAGATAAATAATGATCAGTTCGGGAATATGTAAGGTCATAGAGACAATGAAAAACATGGTGTATTACTTAAAACCGTCCCTCTCAAAAGAATAACCAAATCTGACTACATCATGTCAGCCTGCTAACTGTCGTACGTGTCATGAAGCGTAAAAGCCCCTGCAGCGGCGGCGGCAGCAGAGTGTGGGTGAAGAAGAGGGAGGCTCTTGCAGAGCTACTTACATGACTTCGACGTTCTTGCAGTGGGGGCCGCTCTGTGTCAGCTTCACATCTTGAATGGATTTAGGAGGGATGAACTTCGAATGAGTGGCTATGCACTGGCACCGGAGCTCGGTTCCCATCCTTGCCAGGGTCCTACCTGTGAGCAAAAAAGGAAGGTCGTGGTTTGAGAGGCGGTCTTACCATCACTGTATCAGACATGAAGCACGACTGCTCTATTTTAACAATATGCTCAATTAAAATACTGCATTTGTCCAAGCTGCCCAAATCCTCACGGTGTAAAGATCAGTTGCGTATTTGTTTCAGAGGATCTGATGGCCAAGTACAATTAAAACTGAATTAACACATCTTTTTGAAATAAAACCACGTATTTCGTGGTTACTTGTACTGACCACACTGTACGGTTAGTTACGTCGTTTTAATATCTGGATCGACAAAGTGGCAACTATACAGTGGCAACTATATAAAGACAGAGCCGTAGATTTTTTCATTAACTGGAGGCTTGTCCATGCTTCTATGTTCATATTGTTTGTTCTCCGTTCCCAGCTGTATATTACTTGCTTGAGGCAGTATCATCATTAAGTAACAAATATGAGATCATAAACTGTTCTTTGTGTGGGAAGGGAGAGAAACATTCAAACACTTAAGATCCTGTCTCTACCTGCGTACACTTCAACTGAAACATAGAAACAAGGCAAATCTAAGTTGCATCCATAAAATTTTTCCCACAAGATGTCAGTAACCCTTCAGTACAAGGGCCACGTGGTAGGTTTCTGACTGAAGAGAAGTTGCTGAAAATGTCTCGAAAGAAGCTGATTTGCTGAAACAAATATAAAGCTACCTCTCTGCAAGGACAAGCATCTCGGCAGATACCTAGACAATATTACAGCCATGGGGATCTTGGGAGGGATTTACTTACCTTGAGACATAGCCGCTGAAATCAGGAAGAGAGCCAGGACAGCCACAAGTTTGCCGTTCATGATTAAATAGGAGATTTTTGCTGGAACGTTTAGCTCTGGTCCTGTGGAGCAGTGACCTCTCTTGTCCCGGAGGATTGCTGATGCCTGGTCTGGGCGATCCATCTGTCTTATATACCGTTTTGTGCCCAGCGTCTGTGCTCTGCTAGCATGTAGATTGCGTTAGAGGAATTTCCCAGATGCAGTAAAAATGAGTCACATGACTGTTGTGAAACGCCTTCCTAGATGACGAGGAATTATTCTGCTGAGAATGATATAATGTATTAATTTATTAAAGTATGTAAATAATAGCCGTGCATTCCATTTCTTTTATAGAGCTTTGTAAATTTTGTGCTTTTTCTAATGCATACCCTTATTTAGTAATATGACTTTATGATAGTTTCAGTTACATTTTTGTTATAACTTTCTATTATTTTCTTCAGGGTAATAGCTGTTCTTTGTTGGGGTGCCAGGTCTAGACTTGAGGTATTAATTTCTTACCTCCGTTTATGGCGATAGCTTCTGCTTACCTGATTTTAAGCCACTGGAGCGGAAATCAGGCAGTGCTGAAATCACTGAAAAGCTTTTTACTGGGGTCAGGATTTTACCTCAGCATTACTTTGATGTTAATGATTTTAATTTTTTGTTCTTTTCTTTTTTTTTCTGTTCAAGTGGCATCTTACAGAGTAAATTCATCCCTAATACTATCTGTTCAGTAAAGGAATTGAGGCTGCAGTATTCAAAGGTTCCTGTGGGAAGCAGATATTAAATTCTGAACGGCTTTGAAAATGATGCCTGCATTTTTCATGTCACACATGTTAATGAATGATAAACAGAGGAAGCTTTGCAAACTAAACTAAATAGCATGACCTGCTGCACGCAACTGCTGCTGAACGCAACTGCTTTTGTTTTCTTTGTAAGTTTACATATTTTTAATAACTCTTTTCTGTAATCTTTTTCAGTGACCGTAATCCTACGCCTTAGCAACGGGAAATATCATTAAGTATTATGGCACTGCTATAGACATTTCTGTTAAAGAACTTTGTTGCATGGATGCTGAGTGTTTATTTGCTGTGGGTGGTAGAGATATTGACTTGAGAGGGAGACAATTTCAAGGGAAGACTTGGGCTGAAATGCTGATCTGTTGCTTAAATGAAGATTTGGTTTTTTAACCCATCTGGAGCACGTGTGATTAGAAGAAGCCATTCTGTTTCGGTGCCGTAAAAACGTTGTCCTTTTGACCACGATGACCTGTGCTGCTTTTCATCTCCAACCTCAAAGCTTCATGTTTCTGTGATCTGTGGATTTATAGAGGTACTTCTCCCCAACTCTGAGGAGTTAGTAAAAACGCAGTTATCTTTAGCATGTAAAGCATTATAATGTATTTCTAGTAATAATTTAATAGTTTGCCCATAATTTATTATGGTTTACTGTGTACCGTTTGTCATTAACTTACTTGATAAAAGGAACTTTGTGATGAAAGTTCATGTTTCCCGTCACTATGTCAGTTGGCCTAAGAAAAGATATCACCAAGTTTGTCTCTCCTACCTCTTACGGGTGGGACTAAGGAGGTACCAGAGGCAACAAAAGATACCGATTCTGACTCCTAGCGGTGCTTCTCCTTAGCTGTACGTCTTAGAGAGCTTTACTGAAAAATACATTTAGTTCTCTGAAGGCGTGAAAAAGGAGAGGATTTTACCAGGTACTGAAGGTTATGTTTTATTGTTTATGTTGTATTACGTTGTGTGTGTTATGTTAAATTAACAGGGTGGTTTCACTGGCGTCGGATTATAGATGTTGGAGCTTTAACCACGTCGGATGTTGGAACGAGGTTTTGCTGATTCTTTTCTTTTGGGTTCTCTCTCTTTCTCTCTGTGTCTCTACGTACGTATGTGCACACGCAGGGTAATTAAAATTTGATCAGGGATCCCACTTATCTTAGTTCCTATTTGCAGCTTTATTATCTAATTTTGGTGTGCACTGAAATGTCATTAATGTCCGAGGCAAAAAAAGAAAATTCCCCCTCAAATTCCCAAGTAAAAAACAATGACCGCTTGTCCCTCTTACCACTAGACTCAGCTATTTCCTGAGTGTGGCAGTAACAGATCTGCAGAAATCCCCAGGTCAAAAGTGAAGCCAAGAGCCTGCTCCACCTATATGATTAACCCTGCCCCTGTCTAAAAGAGCAGGATGTTTGTAATGAAATTAAAATCCACTATGTTTTCTGAGAGCTAAAGCATCTCCTCTACCTCCGCTTTTTCTCTGATGTGACACAGTTTCATCGGTACCGTGTGAAGGGGGTGTAACAGAGACGATAGTGGCATAAAAAGGTTGAGACATGAGATCAAGCCCAAAGGCCAGGCACTGCGAAACTGTGTTCCCGGGAGTGCCGTGTTTCGCCCAAGTTCTCCCTACATCCCTTCAGCACTTTGCCCAGGATCTCGTCCCAGCCCCTGCCTATGGGAACTCCAAATCCATTATCTGATTTTGGCAGCCTGTGTTTTCCTGCCAGCCTTCAGAGATGACTTGTGCAAATGGAATTGCTGCTCCTTTTGAAGGATAACATCACTGAGTGAGCTGATACCGCCGCAAGCAGAGACCTTCCATGCTTAGCCCTGTTAAAAGCATGCTTGTAACGAACAAAACAACAAGTTACGCAATAGTCCGATTACTGAAAGACTGCTGAAAGGGGAAGTAAATACCTCCCTTGCCTGTGCTTTTAAGGCAGGTTATAGGATGTGTTCTCAGTGCTGCAGGGTGGAAGCTAGTGGTTTTAATTTTTCATGACTCATTGTCTTGTCTAATGAACACAAAAGTCAAAAGGGAACCTTTTGTGATCTTGACTGGGATCGTTCAGGGTCTTCACGTGTAACAAAGGACGCCCAAACACAAGGGACACAGTGAGGGGGATTCATGTGTACTCTGGTGACCAAGACCAGCGTGAGGGATGTGGGAGAGCTGGGCTCCAGTCCCTTACTGTTTTGAGCCGCCCCACTTCCAGAGGAATGCTCCAGCTTCTGGGCTAATACAGTTACTCTCTCTAAGAAAATTAAGAATCCGTCTTGTTTTAGACAAATTCAAACCTCTCGCGTGAGAAGTTGCACACACAGGACCCCAAAGGCCCAAGAGATAAAGCTTTCGCTGGAACGAGGATTCAGCCTGCGCAAGGTGAATTCTGTCAACTCCTGTCTCCTGTGCGTCCTCTCTACCAGCCTGCTCTTGTTCCCCAGGGAAAAAATCCCACTCTGTCTTCTGAAGCCACCTCCTTTTACCTACAAGGGGCTTGGCATTCGCCTGCCATTCCACTTGACCCGCGGAGAGCAGAAGGGGCAAATACAGGGGCTGGGAAATAACCGCTTCCGCTTCTCAGAAACTGGGCACAATGTTGTGCAAACACTTGTGGAAGTTTACAGTGAGGCAGAGCGTAGGGAGCAGATACGTGAAAAGCAGAATGTCTCCTAAACATCTGGTTTTTGACTTGCTATATGAGGAAGTGATAGCAAAGAATGGAGAAAAGCTTAGGTCAGTTTGTGATTTTTTTCCAAACTTAAGTGTCTAAATATAGATGGTTATGTACCCTTAGTCAGATCACGGCAAGTGCTGGACTTTCCTGAATCCCTCTGGATCACAAAATAGCAGTACAGCTTTTTCGTTTATTTACCTTTTAATTTATGTATTTATAAATATAACAGTATCAGTATATATTTATGCGACTGCATATTTATTCATGATATATGTTTCAGCTCTGCTTGAAAACAGTCAATTCTGTATTGTAGCTTTCAGTTAAAAAATTGTTGTGAGTTAAATGAAATGTTTCATTTGATCCATTTCAGTATGAAAAGTCATTGGCAATATTAATATAAGGTATCTAGCAAGACTAGAAAATGATACATTAATATTTATTATAATACTAACATAAACCATTAGCAAATATTAACAAATATTCATATTAAAAATAAATTCAATCTACCTGGTATTAACAGAGGAGATACTAAGTCCAACCAGAGAATTGTTAGGGACCAGCAGCTGGGGTTTTACCTGCTCTATGAAGGCTGCATTTATTGCTCTAGTTGCATTTCCCTTCCATGAGTTTGGCAGGAAGCATTTTCTGACTGTGGAAATGAGATACGGAATTGGCAAGAGGAAACACATGGTAGGTTTTAAGAAGTTCGTGCTGGGAACTTTTGATTAAATTAGAAGTGGTCAGTAGACATAATATACATCATGCTTTCATCTCTGACTCTTAAAACGTCGCTTGCTGTCATCTTACTGTCTGCTTCAACTCCACCCAATGCAGCTTGGCAGGTGTTAGCCTGAACACTTCCTGGCAGTGCAGTCGCGGCAGGGCATGCATAGAGATGGAGAGTTTCTCTGTAGCACTCAGGTGAACGTAGGTAGATAGCCTGCCTATGAAAGAAGTGCAAAAATGTAAACATCTGAATCTTGAATAAAAAAATACCGTTTAGTAGTGTAAAGGAGATCTGTTTTGCATAAAAGCTGTTACGTATAAACTTGCTGATCCACGGGATCTCAAGCCGCTCGATAGATCAAATCTTACTGTTTACCAAAACTGGGGGGGGCAGCAGTGGGAAGGAACGATCGATGTATTTAGTCAGCTTACGAATTCGGATTTGAATCCAGAGTTGCTCTGGTTGGGGGTTCCAGTGGGGGTCGGTCCCTATCAAGAACGAGACTGCCCTGAGAGTTTCCTGCACGTCTGTGTGCAGTCTGATGTTCTGTCTAGCCTGCGGCTATCCCCCAAGCCCCACTCTCCCACCCTGGGGCTCAGAAGATCAAACTCCACAGGGCAGTCATGATATTTTTGCCTGCAGTCCTCCATTGCTCTGACCACGTATCTCTGGTCTGGTGATCGCTGCTAGAATCTGCACTTCAGCGCTTTCTATCCTCGGAAACTAGATTTATATTGCCAGGCATAAATGATGTGTAGCAAATCGTTAACAGAAAACGTCTTTAACACCCTTTTTTACTCTAGAAAGAAATTAACAATAAATGCAATGGGAATTAACACATTAAACCCATGTTTAGTCTTATAAGCAGGCTCCTGGACCCTTGAGCAGTAACATTTAACGTAATAAATATGTAAGCTGCAAAACCCTTTTGCAAAGCAAAAAATACGGTCTATTATAGTATCAGGTAGAACTAACGTGAGGGAAAAAAATTGCAAAATATTTCCTCTTATATTAAAATAAATAGTGTGTTCTTTTCTTCAGAAATACGACTTGTAAACTTCTTTTTTGTATATGTATGTCTCTGCCTGCATCTTCCTGTCCGTAAGTGGAAACTACAGCACAAGAAATACCACTTCAGAAATAACACAGGTGATTTACTATCTCTAATTTTAGCTGCTTCCTTCTGAAAGCCATTAACTCATAGTCATTAGTCACTACCCCGAGGCTGGCAGTGACTTGGAACTGTTGATGAGACGTAGCGAAGCACCTCGCAGGAGGTGGTTTAGGTGTCAGTCCATGCTTACTTGCTTGCAGCTGTGCTGCAGGTACACCCAGTCAAATACTGTTTAGCTAAAGTCACTTACAAACAGTCTTCATTTCCTTCAGTCACATTTAATTCGGGATTCCCCATTCCAGTGAGTGGTATGAGTGGTGTGTCTCATAGATCATTTTAAAGATATGCCGCCAAAAATTTACTTTCTGGGTACTCATAGAAAATGAAGTAATCTTTGGTCTTTGTAGAACACATTGCTACAGCTGTCAGGAGTGACTTGGTGGAGGATCTCTGCCACTTTCTCAAAGATGGTTCTTTTGTGGAGAAATGAATGTGAATTCACTTCTCTCATGGCCACCCAGAGGTATCTCACTTCTGAAAGAGAGAGACCTGCTTTGCTTCATCACTTCCTGTATGGAGCATTTGTTCATCTTTGTTGCATTACCTTCAACCTTTCCCAGCTCTACTCTGTCGTCTTGAAGATGGGAGCCAGGCGCCGCACAGTGCTCTGCGTGTGGGTGAATCTCGCAGTTACGCAGTGGCATAGCAAATTTTAGTAGTTAGTTCTTATTCGTTCCCTAGTAACTCCTAACATTATGTTTGGATGGGTTGGGTTTCTGGGGTTTTTTTTTTGTTTGGTTCTGAAGTTTTTTTCACTGCTGAGCCCTGATCTGATACTCCTGTCATACAACTTCGCATGATCTCAGGATCTCTATCCGATGTGCTGACGATGAGCCTAGAATGCCTCATTGTTTCTAATGTTTGGTGAGGGTTGTGAAAGGATTTCAGAAAGACAGTTTGACTATACCTGTCAGACCTTCCACATCCATCGGCTTGTTGTCACCTTCAAAGAACCGTAACGAGCGCGTGAAAGAAGACTTCCTTCAAAGCTACACAGACTCTTCCATATTATATGTTTATTCTTGAGTTTACAAATTGTATCCTTTCTCTATTTCTACTTTAAGTAAGGCCACTTAAGGGTAACTAATTTCCTCTTGTTTATGCTTGTCCTTACAGCACTAAAACACGTTCATTAAGCTTGACCTCCTTGATCCATCACAGATAGAGTTTTAGAGATAGACACAGCAAAGGAAATAAGCAGACTCAGCAACCGTCTCGGGGAAAAAAAAATAATCAAATGTAGTAATTTGTAGTAGCGGAAGGGGGGTGTGTTCCTTGGCATTCTCATCAGCAAGTGTTTCCTCTCATTTCATATCCTTGAAAAACTCCAAGGTATATTTTTCCTTGACTTTTCTTTGATTGGTGACTCAACATTGTCTCTGGCCCTGTAATTAGATGAAGTATGAAGTGAATTCAGAAATTTATTAATGAAACAATTACCATTAATACAAGCTACAGGGAGAGCAACAGGTGCTCACAAGTTGTTAATGACCTATTTTTACTGTATCAACCAATGGACATATGTGCAAAGACAAAACAAGTCCTATGTTTACACAAGTACTGCTCCAACAGAAAGGACTTCTATATGCCTCTGTCCAAATTGTGCGAAGTAGGGACCTGATTGTCCCCATTTACAGCAGTGAAAGCTAATAAGCTTAGAAATGCCAGCTGTAGGTCTGAATTATACCCAGAAAGAGAAAGTGAGTCTTTTAGAGCTTGATTTTTGGAAGTGTCAAACACGCACCCAGATTGTGCTGTTTCTCAGCGGATGTTTAGGTGCATCATACCTCTGGCCTTTTGGGTGACTTAACGCGCAGGGAAGGTATCAAAGCTAGGAAACAATTTTAATCCTCAGGCATTTAGAAATACAGATTTAGAGAGAACTGTTGGAAAGAATTACTAATGCCTGAAGAGGGTGAACATTTTCATGCCAAGAAATTAAAATATGCCTTCTGAAAATAGCTTTCAGCTGAAGATGTTTTACTAAAGAGAACAACTTACCTGGCCAAAATAGCCTTTACAGTGAGCCGGACCCAGGGAGCAGTGGGTTCCAAACACACTTGTTTGCCACCTTTCAGCGTAGCTCTGCCAAGAAAGAAACAAAGAAGGCTAGGTGGATCCCTCCCACTCTCCTGCTGTTTTGAATTTTATCTTAGCTATTTTCCGATTAAGTAACTGGAGGACGTGCTGCAAACTTTTGTTTATTAAACTTGTTGGATACTTTCTGTACTTGGGCATTTAAATTTTTTTTTTTTTAATGAATTATGTCAATATAGGTGCTTACGATGCAATCTTTTTAATGAGCCTGATGAATGTTTCATTTGGTTTCTGTTCTCTATCTGGTCATAGTTTAGCAGATCTTTCAGGAACTTAATTATCTTGGAAACTTTTTTTTTACAAAATCAAGCCTGGCTGAAATTACCAATTACCAGTGAGATGGAACTGGATGACATGCAGTGCTGCACAGAGGGTATGATCGTACAAGTATTATTTGCTTATGAAACCATAGTGAAAGCAGAAAAAACCTGAAAGCTCCCTTCTGTTTACATGAATGCATTGATCCAGTTAATGTGAATAGTTCCTGATGTGATTTTAAATGAATCACATTTTTAAATGTGATTTGCCGTATCTTTTACTTTGTACTCATGTGGGTTTTACAGTTTAAGTTCCACACTCCTCGCACAGGAAAATGCTCAATATGCAATTCTGACATAGGGAATAACTCGCGGCGTTTCCAGCTTTGCCACATGCAGACCAAGTTGGTGGAAATTGTTTGAATTCATGTCAATGGGATCAAGATTGTATCTTTGATTGATTCTTCATTGTCTAAATTATTAATCGTATCCTGAATGTGTTATGGGGATCTAATTCTCTCCTTTGTTGGTCATAATTGAGATATTAGCATAGAGAGACTTTTAAAATACTGTCTGGAAGTGGCTTGTAACGCTGGCAGGAAATTAGCTCGTTCCTTTGGATAGAAGGCCTAATACCTTATACTTGGTGTCTATGAGGCTTTGCAAGGGATATGTAATTCCACCCAAAGTAAATAAGTAACTAGGGTGTGAAATGCCAAGTGCCTTCATCCTATCGAAAGCAAGATGCTATTTTGCAAAAGCGCTCACATGATTTCCACATTTTTGCAGCGAGGTCCTCTTTGGCTTAATCTCACGTTCTGAATAGCCTTGGGAGGGATAAACTTGGAATGAGTACTTATGCACAGGCATTGGAAGCCTTTTTCCTTTGTCTTTGCCAGGGCCTTACCTGTAGAACAAAAATAAGTTATGTCTAGGTAAATGAACAATCTCATTGGTTGCTCCTACGAAGCAAAGCGTATTCCCTTCTGTCAGCCTTATTCTTGTTACTCAGACACTCTGATTTGCTGAAGACTTTGAGATAAAATTAACTGCAGCTGCCCAACAGCAGCAGTTACATTCTCAGAGCTGTTGGTGTGCAGATGCATTTAAAGTTAAACTTGTATCTCTAAGTGAAAATACTTAGATGTTTTCATAGTGCATTTGTGCCTGGCCAGATGCTACACCTAAATTGCATCGCTTGAACAAAGTAGGTTAACGTCATTAACTATGTCCGTATATTGTTTACTAGGTTCTGCCATGATCATCTGCTCTTATTCTTTATTCTCTTCTGCAAATCGCATAATTCTTGCCTTGAGGAAACACTATCATCAACCTGCCTACCAAGAATAAAAGTACAAATAGGAGTAAGTTGTCATTTGGAAAAAAGATGTATGGACACGTTTAGAAAAAAGGTCCTGTCTTAATTCAAACGTTTCTTAAAATCTAGGGTTAGGCAAATATTATGGCATAGGAATAAACTGATTTCCTGACAGAAGCATGTTTTACCCCCGAGAAACGGCCACAGCATCCTAAGAGATGCAAATACGAATGATAATTTTATTTCTGAATGACAATTTATTGAAGATGCACATCTTTTGCAAAAAGTCAACATTAGCATAGCATAAGCCCACTTGTATTTGCATCTGTATGTTTATTCATTGGTTATGTGAGTTTTAAGAAATCATTTTCTTACCTTCTGACCCTGCCATTAAGACCAGGTAGAGAACCAAAGCAGCAGCAACAGATTTGCCATCCATTGCTGCGCAGAAGTTTTCTTCTTGACAGACGTCCTGCTATCGTTCTGTTTCACGCCAGGTTTTATATCGGAAAGGTGCACTCCCAGCAGCCTAAGTGCTGAACAAGTGCGTTCTGTACACGCAGGTTTCCTAATACGTGAGAGTGTTGCGTAAGAAATCCAAATCTCTGCACAGGCCCTTCAGTGGCACTTCAGAATTCCCTAACTTACTTCTGCTGCTGTATTTTTTTAATTATTTCTTTAAATTGTGATTATTATGCATTGCTTTCTGTTTGCGCTTCTTCATGGGATATTAGTTTTAAGCAACAATGCTGAGCTTGCACTTGGAAATCAATAGAGCATTACCAGGCAACCCCCCAACCCAAAATAAAAAGACTTTTTTCCCCCTCTCTGAATGTAGAGTTTGTGTTCAGCTCTTTGCATTGACTTTAAATGCCTTGTGCAAAAGCTTTTACCCAACATAATTACGGGAACTTTTCATCCCAGTCTTATGGACTATATTTTGGTATGACTCTAATGAAGTTTTTTAGCCAGTGTCTTATGAAGGCAAGACATAACTAGTTTCTGTTGTTCTCTGAAAGGATTTTGTCATTATCAGTTTGGCTAAAGGGATTTAGATGCTTAATTCTGTACTGAAAAGCTTCTCTAGTCATTGAACAGGAAAAGATGAGCTTAAAATGACTGAGGCATTGTCACCTAAGTCACTTAAGCTCTTCTGAAAATTTCATTTGTTCAGAATATGAGAAGAGAAAGTATCTGACAATAAGAGTTGTAATAACACCTGATTAAAATAAGCACTTAGGAAGTTACTTGTTTTTCCTTCTAACCTCATGCATCTAGAGTAATCATAGGTGTTTAAAACAGAAGATAAACACATGTCATAAGTGAAATCTCTTGAGTGTTCCTCAGGAATCCGTTTCTAGAGTGTGTATGGTTTAGTCATTAGGATATTGGATATTCTTATTTTTGTGAGGTGAAAAAAAGGTGGTCTCAAGGAAAGAAACCGGACCAAATAGTGATCTGATAAAATATGTAGTCCGTGTGAATTTCAGTACTTTACTAAAATTAAGAAAGCAATTGGGTTTTGAAAAGAAAGAGCCTGCCAAATGAGAGCCTTAGTATTGTACGTAGGGGAGATGGCAGTTTATCCTGGACATACATAGTGTCTGCCTTTGCTCACTGGGGAGCAGGACAACGCTTTGGATATGTTAGCTGAGATTGTTAACTAGTTCGTAACTGGTTTAATTGTTAAGTATCTCAACGTAAAAATATTTTGCCAGGAGAATTAGTAATTTCAGGGAGTCCGAGCTCAGTTTTGGAGGGACGGTATTAGCAAAGCAGAAGCAACATGGAAGAACAGCCCACGTTTGACAAAGGTAGTCATCAAGTCAGAAGAGCTGCAGTGCTTCTCTTAGCAGCCTCTGAGAGCACTGAAACACGTTTTTGGAAGCGTTGAGGGTTGTTGTTGTGTTCCTAAGAAAGGTATCTTGTGAGCGCACACAGAAAAGAAATGAAATATTTTATCATTTCTAGCCAGCCTCTGAATCATGTCTCAGTGATGAGTGATAACCTATGGAGAAGGAAGGGATACGGTTCAGCCGCTGTGCAGATGTTCTTCCTGGGATCCTGGGAGCGCAGCCATTGCTAATGTTTTGGACAGAAGAATTTATGAGAAGAGCCCTTCCTTGGCCGTGATTCAGCTCCCAGTAACTTGACTGGGATTTTGCTGGTGACAAAGGTTACACGCTTACTGTAAGTATCTGTATAGCACTAAAACCGGTGCCAGTCCTTTAGGGTACGCACATACTTTTATGGGCGTGCATATAAAGTGGTTCTTCCCCACCTCTCCCAATTCTTGGCTGATATTTCTAACATGCTTACCTCCAAATTAGATTTCTGAAAGAAGCCAGCTGGTAAAAATCCCTCAGGAAACAGGAAGGCTTAGTGTTGTAAGATGAGACTGAACAAAGCCTGTCCCCTTGAGAATCTTTGTCTCCTTTGCATTCTGAGGATGAGGTCTAGCAGGCTGTGTAATGCAGTGCTGTGGGAGCGGGGCAGAGGTGGGGACAGGGAGCAAAGTGTGGTTGGAATAGTTGCCATTTTGCACAAGAGCTTGCTCAAACAGTACCAGAAACTCCCTTTTTATCTTGCACCGTGAGCAAACATGAGCTGTTTGTGCAGAATACGGAGTGACTCCTTATTGGAAAAGTCCAAAGAAAAACAAATATCAAAACATTTGCTCAACTTCTCCATTTTCTCAAGTGTTTACTGCTCGTATTCCAGCCATTCCTCTGTAAATCGCTGTGTCACAGGCAGATGCGTGGCTATACAATCAGAGCTCTGTTTCTTAGGATTTCTCCTGATGTAGTCCTCCCTCCTCACTGGAATTAGGGAGGATGCTCAGTGACTTCCTTAATGTTTATCAGGTTTCCCTGCTTATTTAAATCAATGAAAAACCTTGTTCAGTGCCAGATTCTCAGCTGACGTGCTGTCTGAGCACCACCGCTGCTATGGCCTTGGAATTTCTATGACTAACCATTATTTGTTCATGACTTTCTATCTGTGAATTTTATCTCCCAGACCTCTGAAAACACTGAGTCTGGCAAGAAAAGAGGAAGACAGTAGATCATTTTTATAATTCCTCCTATTGCAAACCATCTGCACTCACGGGAGGTGAGAATTTGCTGTTGTAATTAGCTGCCCCCCCC